TCTGCGCATATGTTGACGACTCTCGAAGGGCAAAGGTTTCCCACCGTCGAGCCGAACGGAGCGCTTCGCGCCCAAAAAGATTGCTGATAGAAGCGAACAGGCGAGTCCCAGGTAGCAGTTCAGAAGATGAAGATGCGATCACGGGGACAAGACGTTTATTTGCCTGACGTTTCGGATTCTCACTCGAATCCATCATCAGAGACATTCGCAGATAGAGGTGAATGTGGCACCAGGAGTGCAGTATTTATAGCACGTGCTTGAGTGGTAAAATGACTCAAAATAACCTGGACCACCTGCGGGGTTGCGTGTCGCCCTCTCCGCAAAAGTTTTGTACTAGAGGGCAGCTGGATGTGGCATACAATCTCCGTCTGCGCATGCAAAGACATGACCCGTTCAACTGTACCGATTTAATCAAACCCAAGCACAGTCTCACCCTCTAGGGGAAGCCTCGCCAGCTACCACACTTCGGCCTAGCGCGTGTTAAACGCAACGACAATAATTGAGTCTGACTTGTGCTCCGCTAGAAATATGGGTCGTCATATCACTGACGGAAAAAGTTAGCACACTGCAGTGTAGGGAGTCTTATTGAAGTATACCAACCAGATCTGACTCCTTACCTAAGTAATCGTTTATCCTTGAAAACACGCTGAAATAATCCCACTGATTTTTTGTGACTTTATGTGCATGCAGTACGCCCGAATCTATCAGTTTTAGAACACCCCATAAATGCGTCTCTCATTTGGAAAACAGTCGGTCGGTTCCCAGTCAGCTTCAGTAGGGATATTCTGCAAGCATACAGACAGTCCGTTTGTTAGAATTGTTAATCACGCTTTCGAAAGACACGGTTAATTCTGATAGTTCAGAGGTTGTTTCAGTTTTAAGGTTGAGACAGTAGGTAACGTACATCCTGGGATGACAGTTCGACCGCGTACCCGACGCTGTTCACTTTGCCGATACAAGCGAAGATGCGAGTTCCAGGAACTAGTTGATCAGAAGAAGAAGCGATCTCTGGAACAAGTTGCTTGAGTCATAGTTCACGGGACCTCAGTTTATCAACAAGTACAACGACATCCCTACTCCTTATTCCGTGCTGAGGCATAGGCTGGACAAGGTAATTGACCACTCGGGGAGCGCGCAAGCCGGTGAACCAGATGACCGATCAATCATCAGGCCAGCATCCAACACCGGTGATGACATTTCAGCAATTAATAACTTGCATGCCGGCCATCAAGCAATTAACGCACCAGCGGACAACAATCCTTGATGAAGGGGAGCGCGGTTAATTGCTACAGGTATGCGCTAGCATGGCGACTGCATCCTATAAATACTGCAACTTCCTGTGCACGAGGCATCCTTTTCTGCCACTATCTCTGATGATGGATTCAAGCGAGAATCCGAAACGTTAGGCGAATAAAGCCCTTTTTCCAGCGATCGCTTCTTCTTCTTCTTCTTCTTCTTCTTCTGATGTTCACTTGATGCTCCACAGCAAGGTGAAGCAGACACGGTAATTTCTGTGAGTGAATCTAGTTTATAATGAATGTAAACTTGAGCTGCATCCACCGCATTCTCTCATCCTCCTCCACCTGGACCCGGTGCCAAGGCATAGTCAAGAAGACCGGAAGTGGGGGAGGGCGTAGGTGGATGTCGAGGCAAGCCCACGCCTTTGCGCTCTACCCCACACCCCCCGGTCCACACGACACTTGCCCAGGATTCTAACCAGCAACAAAAATGGGGGGCTCCCACGCTGTGCGACATGAGCCAGCAGCTGGGCCTACCATCAGGTTTTTGATTAACCACAACAACAATGGGGTGGTGGCGGGGCCCCAGAGTGCGCGACGTACGTCGCAACCGGGTTCGCCAACGCACCCCGAAATTGTTGGCACTTTTTATGCCGCGCATTCGGATAACGCCTGCCAGAATCCAATGTGTCCTCCGTGTTGGTCCAGCGCATCTACCGCGTGGTCCCTTTTGGGGGCACAACGCACACACACACACACACCCACACACACACACACAAACGCGATAGTTCGACCGTCGATTTCGACGATGTCCACCGTGTGCCCCACAACAGTGGTGGGAGCAGGAACGGTGACTTGCGCAGGGGTTTATAGTGCCACTAGACTTGCGCCGCATCTACCTACACTCTAACCTCCTCCCCTGCCTGAGTTCGGTGTCAAGACAGAGTCAAGCAGACCGGAGGCGAGCGAGGCCGCAGGTGGATGGCTTGGACAGATCCTCGCCTTGGCGCTCCACTCCGCACCCCCTGGTCCGCACAACGAATGACCAGGATTTTGACCGCCACAACAATGGTGGACGTGACAGTGGTCCCAGTTGTGCGACGACTGTCGACAACAGGGTCTGCCAACGCACCCCCTGCATGTTGGCATTTGTTATTGCGTAAAGATAACGCCTGCCAGAGTCTGATGTGGCCCCCGTGTTGGTCCAGCGAAGTCTAACACGTGGCCCGTTTGGGGAACACACACACACACTGGCCGACAACGACCACCTGACCAAGATTTTAACCAATAACAACAGCGCCACAAAGGGTCAGAAAGACGACGACGAGGATGACGGGGCAGCCACTCTCACGACCTGTATGCCCCGGCAGGAGTACAAGCGCTTCTACCGGCAGGAAACCAGGTGTCAGGGCACTGCCAGCGTGCACCAGGCTGTGAGGATTAAGATTTGTTGATCCCGGCATAGCAGACGCTTACAGATCTTTAGGCCCAATATCATGGGACAATAACTGCAAGTCTGGACTGTGCTCTCAGTTAGAAGTGACTGCATTGATGAGGGTGTAGAGTTGATTAATATGCAGCAAAATCTCCAGATATTTAAGCCCCGTTAGGTTTTCAGCGCTTGAATCCGTATCTTTCTCCTGCAAATATTAAACTTGCAAAAATGATTACTTAGGTGAAATAAATTTTCCAAATGATTTTCAGACTTTCTATGAATCCAAACACACATTTTGTAGAAAGCATGCTCAGCAATATCCTTCCTGTTAAACATTTCACAATTAATTATGTCTTCCTCAAATTATTTACTCCAGGGAAGGTATACCTTCAGCTATTTAAAAATGTTTTCGATTTGAAGTAGGAATAGGGACTCCCCGCAATACGAGTCGGTTTACGTCAAATTCCAGGATGGGTGCGTTGCTCTAACCTCAGCTCCATACTTATCGCTAACTTCAACTTTAACAGCATCCCTAACCTTAAATTGTACTCTAACCCTAACCTGAAACTGATCATAATTTCCCTTGAATTTGACACAATTTCATTTGTATCACGGGGTTACCATTCCCGTGTCCAGTCAACTTTTTTAATTCTCGACTAATTTAGAATACGACCTGCCGTTGCACTTGTTTTTCCGGTTTCCAAGCTAAGACTGTAGGCTTTCCATTTAAGAAAAATGCTTCATTCCCCGTGTCACTTAGAAAATGTCACATAGGATATATAACATTTTGCAATGAACATAAACCACATTGTGGACATCAAAAGGGGCATTCAAAAAGGGACATATGTAATACTAGTTAAATAAACACATCGAATTCTCAAAACATGTCATAATTGTAAATATTTTTAGACCGAAGTTTGGTCCTTGACAGGGACGTAATTTGGTACGAAATTGAGTAGAAGAAGGGTTGTATGTGCATGCTTTCTATAAAATATGTTTAGATTTATAAGAGCCGTGAAAACCGATCGAAAAACAACTTATTATATAAGCAGCCATTCTAGCGGGCGGAATTTTTGCATGCAGCTAGAAGGACACGAATTGCGACATCCTGGCGTGACTGGAATATCTGGGAATCATGCTGAATGATAATATCGCAGTGTACTCATAATGATTCTTATAGCCGAGATCATATTGCAGAATTTCAATTAAAGTGCCATGAGGTATGTAGGCTAAGTAGTTTGCAATTCTGGTAACCAGTGCAATTTTTGTGGAAAATTGATGTATTCAGACTGCCCGAGAACGGTTTGCAAAAGTGGGCTGGTATCCCTGGCCCTCAGAATTGGCATTGGGCCTTCTGCTTCAGACTGCTTCCAACCTCGTCCGTGAGCTCTGCAACAGTAATAGGCAAGTAGTACTTTTTCGGCCGACAGGCCAAATCTCGTCCACCAGTGTGACATCCAGTGAACAGCAGCATATCGTTCGAAAGGACACAATGAACTTTTTGGATGACTTACATTGTTTTGAAATCATTTATTGCAGGTAGCGGAAGCAACAGTGGCATTTTGCGTGCATTATTTGTACTTCTACCCAGTGCCATGCAAGCCTGTGGCAGGGAATCCAACGGACAACATAGACACGCACAGCGGGTGTACCAGCGACGTGCCTCTCTGGCATGTCTTGTCATACACACGCCCACACAGAAAGTGTTTGCGCCAAGACACAATCTGGGTGTATGTCCGCCGCCGCCGCCGCCGCCGTAAATCCTGCGCAAATGCGACGAAGAGGTGGGCGTGATGTGACAGTCCTTGCCGTGTAATTGAGTCCTGCACGTGAGATCCACCGGGGTAAAATCGGATTGATGCTCTCCCCCCCCCCTGCTGCTGCCTCCTCTCTGTCGTTCTTCTCCCTTACCCAGATTTGGACGTCGCGCGCTCATTCGTTGGTCGTCCAAATCACCCTGTGGCAATATGGTGGGGGGGGGGGTCTGAAGAATGCCTCCCTAACCTACAAACACATCAGTCACTGGTGGAGAGGCACTAACCGATCGTTCTTACGAACTCACTCAATCCGTTGTGCCTCACGGGCTTTCTCTACTGAGTACTACTACTACTGCTTCTACTACTACTACTACTACTACTATTACTACTACTTACTACACTACTACTACTATTACTCTCACTATTAAGTACAGGCTGACAAGATATGCACTGGCAACAGAAACTCTTTGCGTCATCAGTCATCGATCAGCTTTATGTTCTGACGTTTAATATTTCGATCTCCTCGAGGAACAGGGCCCACTAATGCCCCCAGGATTGAGTGCAATTGGGAGGTGCGCATGAATTTATTTATAGCCAAACAGAGTTTCACGGTACCTAGTGTATCTCGTTATTCCCACGCCCATGCTGTTCCGATGGCAGGAATAACTCAAGACGGCATGAGGTGGGCGTGGTCATTGTAGCTGATAAGACCAAACAAAACAACATACTGACCGCTGCGTAAGAGGGGAACATAAAACTTAGATACGTGAGATTGCCATGAGAGCCGTCTTAAGAAACAAACAAATCGGACCTTGGTTCTTAATCCAAGTAGGATCGAGTTTGCCCATCGGTTGGCAATCTTTTTTTAGATATCACTTTTAGTGTATGCCTTGTTAGTTTTAAGCACACCAGGCTTACAGTCCGAAACCGATCTCATGAAATGCTAACCGAAATTCTGAATTTTTTTTAAATTAAGGAGGATTACTGAAATGGGGTTGTAATATGGATTATCGTGCGGCATAATCTGGGATGCCGGCTTTCGAATGCAGTTCTTCCCGAGCGCCTGTGGAAACCACATTCGACCAAAAGAGACTATAAAGTGGTATAATTTTTTCCACCGATTTTCGATGCTTTTATAAATTCAAATATATTTTATTGAAAAAAATGGTCGAAGTATGCTTTCGTGTACACATTTGGTATTAAGTCACTTCTTCAAGTTCTATACTCCCATCTTCTCAGTGGTGTAGAGGTACATGCGATTTTCCGCACACGGAAAGCAAACAGCTTCTACACTGTAAGTCCCGACGATTCGACCGTCGTGTCCGACGTGTCCACCATGTATCCCACAGCAGGATGGAGGCGCGTGAACTAGTTTATAGTAATAATTGCCCCACGCTTCGCCTACTACAATCTCCTCTCTTCGCCCACCTAGACGCAGTATCACGGCAGAGTTAGGAAGAAGGGAGGTGGGATCGGGTGGAGGTGATTGGCGTGGCATGAGCACGCACCTAGGCGTGCCACCACATCCTCCACCTGAATGACCTTTCTTATGGGTGCAAATCACAATGACGCGTGCCGCACTCCGATCTGGTTCAGCGCAACTCCCGCGTGGCCCGTTGTAGGGGGCAGGCGTGTGAGCCCCAAACGCTAATGAAACGGTAAAACTGTATCAAGATTATTCGGAAGTTGGAATTTTTTTAAAAACACAGATATGCCCTTTCTTCAAGCACAAAATTTGAAGTAATCATGATTGCCTTCCAAATGGGTGAAGAAAGCATATATTTCGACAAAATATAATTTAGTTTATAAGCACATTGAAAACAAATGGGAAAAATTGTATTATTTAATCAGTAATTGTCACCGAGTGCGGCTTTCGCAGGCAGCCGAGAAGAAGTGCATTCAAATGTTGGCACCCTACCGTGGGGGAATTATCTTGGGATTATACTACCCGATGATCAATATAACAATCCCACTTAAGTACTCTTCCGCAACTTGACTGGCATTTCAGAATTTCAGATAAAATTTTATGAGATCAGTCACCGGCTGTAGGTCTGGCGAGAAAAACGCTGGATTCTTCTGAAGAATGACATCGAAGTGTTGTCCTTATTCTTTCGTCCGGTCCCTACGCACCGGCAACCTAATTTTATCTGTTAGTCAACTCAGTCGGTCCAGGAAAAACTTGATTCCGCCTTTCGTCTGGGTTATTCACTTATTTACGACATGCATCTTGTTAACCCTCGTCTTTGTTCAGCTTCTCCAAACTTTGTTTGTCTCGACTTAATCTACCAAATTTGCTTAGCACTCTCTGGGAAAAGACAAGTGCGCTGCAAACGTTGCGTACTAAGAACTCTGCTTTTTACGATGATATCGAGCACTAACACTTCGTCCATCCAAATACAATATTCTATTGTTGTCTCGTGTACACAACTGGTCTTACGAAACAAAATGTCTTACAATGTCAGTATTTTGCAGACGTAAGAAGTCATCTGGCTGAAATTAGTTTGTGATTCTTTGTAGCAGTGGATGCCCCCTGTTTTTTTTATCAGATCCCTTTAATAATAAAATTTCTTAAAAACAATTTCCAGTTTTTAAGTTTATTGAATTTCAACTCAGGCAAAATACTTTTAGTTATTTTGGAGCGGTTGTGTGCTCAGTTATCGGGGCCTAATTGTTAGAAGTATCATCATTGGCCTCCTCACTAAGGAGAACCTCCCATTCGTCCAGCGCCCAATGCGGACTAAAAAGAAATAGTTTTTTGCCCACAGTCCGTATTTGTCCGCTTACACTAGAAGGGTACATAACGTCGGCCTTGCAAGCTATGGCAATAGACGGACCCACAGGATCCTTCTAAAAATGCATTGGAATTAGAAATCTGTTAATGACGCGACATACGTTCCCACACCTCCAACAAGAGTCGGCCTAAATCAAAGACTTTGTCTTCTCCAAGCCCTCTTAGTTATACTTTGTGTACATTCCCAATCGTACACTTTCACCGTCACTTGGCTCCCCTGCCATGCCAACCACGGCAGCGTAAACGTCATAACACACACACACCCTCTCATGACGCGACCCGTCGTTACTGAAGGCTTCCGTGACGCAGTTTCTGTCGAAGACGCAACCAGTCTGAGCACCAATCAGATCCACCCAGCGGTCTAGCTCACATGTGTATTTGCGTGTGCGTGTGTGTGTGTGCCGCTGAGCAGCCCCGGCTCACTGTCCGCGAAGTCATGAAAGAGCAGAGCGGCTGCGAAGGTCTCTTTGCGTCCCCACATTTAGACTTTCTACATCTTTCCCGCGCAACCCTCAGTTATGGTAGAGTTATATGCTTCAGCCGATCCCCCTGCTACCTACAAACTGCCCTATCATCCCGTGGCGGCCATCAGCTACGATCCCGTCAGGCAGGTCCTGCTTGAGCAGAAGGACCTTCAGGAGCGGGAAGAACGTCATCTTCGACAACGGGAAAAGGCAAGGAGGCATCAGAGCGGGACAACGTTAGGGGCCGTCTGCAAACGTCTAGCCTACTTCTTTACCTTCTACACAATTCTCGTATTGCTTTTCTTCGGTTACCTCAACTGGTACATGTACTTCCAGGTGTCGCGGGACTATCCGAAGCTCACTGGCTGGCAGAGCGCCCTGCAGATGAATCCGGGACTCAGTCAGGTGCCAAACCCCAACATCTTCAACAGTCTATTACGATTTCGAACTCGGGAACCTCTGCCTTATTCCAAGTATCAGGACGAGATTGTGGCTTTCCTGCACGCGTACCAGGACAATACTGGTTGTATGGAAATGGAGGATTGTGTCCAGGAGGGTGGTTTCAATCAGGACGTTGAGCGTCCCTGTGCCTACGACCTGAACGCCGGGGGGCCATGTAACATCATGAATGGATATGGTTTCGACACAGCTCAACCTTGTTTTGCACTAAAAATGGGCAAAATTTACGGTTGGCTTCCGGAGCCGGTGGATTTTGCGACAGGGGTACTGGTAAAGTGTGAAGGTGCTACCGAAGACGACACGAACAATCTAGGCATCATACGCTATTTTGACATGGACTACAAGTTCTCCGCCATTGCGCCTGGGAAGAATCCTGGAAAGGTGACTAACGGCAGCTTTCATTCCATGTTCTTTCCCTATCGAAATCAGTACTGTTACCACCAGCCCCTGGTTTTTGTCCAGTTCGATGGAGTCAGACGCAACAAACTCATCAGGGTACAGTGCTACCTGATTGCAAAAAATATTAATGTAGACATTGCTCGCCTTGAAGGAAGTACGAGGTTTGAAATCCTCATCGACTAGGAATTTATGTACACTACACAATTAACATTTTGGATGATTTTGAAGTTGCCTAATATGCGTTGTCTTTTCAGCGGTTGCTCGCATAATGTCTTTCACTGTTTATTTCCTCGTAATACCACCGACACTTCTTGTCATAAGGTAGCCGTTGACTCCGCGGGCTATGTGTGATGACGTATAACGCGCCAAGAATTTTGTTAATATTATTGAGTACTATACTGCTGAATTTTTTTCTCAATAACGACTGACTGATGTTTCCAATCACAAAAATATGATGATTGCAATGTATTGCCAAGAATATGATAAAAAGGCTTCACTTTTTAAAAAAATACTATGATATGGCTACATTACTTGACCTGTTTTCACACTGAGGTATTAAGGCTTATCAATAGTCGAGCATGAAGTCCTAAATGTGGACAGTTAGTAACTTCTGTGCTCGCTAGTTTTCTAGCTTTTCTTTAGATCTAGCCTCGGAATAGCATACTTCCGGGATTTTGCAAGACCATTACCTGATCTGGAATTTCTTACCCCTTATATCATTGTTGTCAATAAGCATTTTTAGTTACTACTTGACTGTTTACACGCCATCAGTAAGTAATACCAGCAGTAACCCTCGTCATTCAGTGTTCAATTCCGTCTTATAATTCAGAGAGACAAATGAATATCATTTCTGTGACGTCATGTATATATATATATATTGTAAAGGTATTATATCGTAATCCCGACATAGATAGTTGCTAAAAGCCCACATACGTGTTTCGCTGATATTCTGCCGCTGCATGACACAGCTGCGAGAAGTTCGGCTCTTCGGTGGGACACCCAGCGATCTCTATGCGGTTTCTGGTACATACACTGCGGAGAATAATCAAGTGAATAATTTCAGAAATTACTCAGTGCAGGACTTGTAGTTAAATCACCGGGACATGACTTTTAGGGTCGGAGCCGAAATTGTAATGGACATTGGAGTCGAAAACAATCAACAACTGTGGTATAACCACGGAATGCCCATTCTACAAAAAGTAGTACTACGAGTAGCATGAAATCCATATGGTAAGGAAATGTTCACTGAAATTTTGGTTCTGACCCTAAAAAGTCAGGTCCCGGAGATTTAACTCCAAGTCCTGCACTGAGTAATTTCTGAAATTATTCACTTGATTTATGTATATATATTTCGAAAAAATTAGTCCTTTGGGAAAATGAACAAACTCAATTTCGTAACTTTTCGAGTCTGGTTCCCCAGCTGGTCGTCAGAGGTGTCGACAGTGTGAATAAACAGTCAAAATTTATACATGCCCAAAAATCGATATTGCTCTGTCATGGCTGAGGATGGGTTAATGCTCTAAAGAGAAGTTGAAAGCAAACTCCCATTTCTTGATATCCTAAAGGGACTGAAGGATCATTCCAAACATCAGTATACCGCAAAGAAACTTACATGAAAGTGATCCTACATTACGAGAGCAACGGCCCTATGGTTCACAAACGAAGTGCTGCTAACACCCTACTTCATCGAGCAAAGACACTGCTCTGAGAACGAAGGGTACAAAGAAGAACTCAATTATCTGTTCAACCTATTTTCCCAAAACTGCTACACTAGAGATTTTGTAAGCCGATGCATGAAACAGTGGGAAGCAAAAGAAAGAAATAAAGAACTAGATTGTTCCGATCAGAAGCCAAAACCAAAACATTGGCGAACGCTTCCCTACATTGAAAATGTGTCTGAACTCGTTGAAAGACACCTGAGGAAACACCAAATACAAGTGGCGCACAAACCGAGGACTATGTTACGCAGACAGCTTGTAGACTTTAAAGATAGGATTGGCTATTTTAATAAAAAGGAAGTAGTCTATGAGATTCCATGTGGTACTTTTGATGCGGTATATTGCGGTCAAACCGGGAAATCCGTTTCCACACGCCTACATGGACATCAATTGGGAGTAAAGAGGCGGGACCAATTATCCTAAGCCACCGTGCATACTCTAGAAAATTGGCACAAATTTTTTGGGAATGAAACACGCATTCTCGGATCCTGTCCAAATAAGAAAGGCCAAGAAGTCCTAGAGACCATTCACTCTGATGATTTATGCATTAATCGGCGCGTCGATCTTGATGACATGTACAAAAATCTTAGAGGAAAATGAAAAGGTAATAGCCAACCAAGACGTGACATTAGCCAGAGCATTGACCCATCCTCAGCCCTGTCAGAGCAATATCGATTTTTTGCGCATGTATAAATGCTGACTGTTTCTTCACACTTGCTACACGTCTGACGACGAGCTGGGGAACCAGACTCGAAGGTTTACGAAATAAAGTTTCTTTATTTTCCCAAAGGACTCATTTTTCTCCGAATCATGTTTCTTGGGATGCCCATCTTCCAGGACATACATATATATCATGACAGATAGGCTCTCACCGATCGGGTTACGAAATGTGCTTGTTATGTTGTGCCCTGGGCTCATACTAGAACCCGCGAAGGTAGTCTCATCGCGACTACTAGTAGAAGCGAATGAGGCGGTGCGAAAAAAAGACAAAGGAGACCGGAGTGGTCAGTTCCGTTTTACAAGCCGTCATCAGCCAGTCATACCCAACCCCAAGTGCGGATCACGTATTTGGATCCTTATACACATATATACATATATATGGCAAACGTATTCTACTGTATTCCCTACAAGGGGTACTAACTAAAAGCCCAAGAACGTGTTTCGCCGCTATTCTGCCGCTACATAACACAGCTGCGAGGGGTTAGGCCCCTCGTTGGGTCCCCCAGCCTTCCCTATGCGGTTTCTGATAAATTAACTTCAGGGAAGAATCAAGGGAATAATTTCAGAAATAATTCAGTGCAGGACATGAAGTTAAGTCTCCGGGACATTATTTTTTAGGATCAGACCTGAAATTTCAATGAAAATTTGAGTCAAAGGCAATCAGCTACCGTGAAATATATATATATATATTTGTTGAAGTAAAAACAAAAACAAGGGAGACTGGGAGGGTTACTCCTGTTTATAGCCGTCGTCAAGCAGCCATTCCCAGACTGGGATTCACAGCACCTGAGCTTGAAACCCACGTTTTTCGACCATCGAAAATCTCTAAATCCAATGTTGCAACCATTGTTCTATGGGCTGCAATTGGAAATGTCGAAAAACACTCCCAACATAGTTAATATCTCCGTTCGCAACCGACAGGTCAATCAGCCGTAGCTCAACTAATAGAGCGGTGGACTTAAAAGTACTCGATGATCAAAGAACGCGGGTTCGAGGCTCAGGTACTGTGGCCTTCACTTTGCGTAAGGGTGATTAACAATGGATAATAAGCCAGAAACGGACATCCCATTCTCCCTTGCCTTCTTCGTCATTCGTCTCCTACATACATTAACCCGGTCTCTGAGGGCACTTCAAGCATTAGATATAATGGTAGGGGGTGATCACCGATCGGGCTGCTGAGCTCACTCTTCCAATTGTGCCTTGGGGCTCTCTTTCGAGCCCAACCAGCAGCTGTTCAACGGCGTGTACCATAGACAGAGTATATACATATAACCGACAACAAAATGGGTGCTTTCGGAAGATCTGGAAAATTCCACTGAATGAATTGAGACAAACTCATAGACCGTAGTAGGACTCGAACCCACAACAGCAAGGGCAAGGTTGAGCACAGCCAGCGCACTGATCATCTAAACTATAAAGTCACAAATTAATGACTTGATTTTAATCACAACTGGATAATGTTACCCAGCCGACTTGCTGCAACGTATGGAACCCACCAATTCTTATAAGGTATGCTGATTGCGCGTCCAGGTGTTCCTAGGCGATCTTTATGGAGCCCACCAAGTTTCTAGCAGGCTCACATTATAATAGGTGTGGAGTACATTCAGCCGCCAACTGATGGCCCGTTCGCGTAACTCACATCAAGCCTGCTGAACCTTGCTGCTTTGTTGCCTTCCTAGGTTTAGTCGCCTGAGTTGGCTTACTTCGTGCCGCCCGTACGTGGAAAGAGCGTAAATAATCAGAATTGTACGGAAGCGGGGTTCTATAATTAGCGTGATTAGCAAAATTATAATGTTACACTTACTACGAGATGTCTCCAAACTCACAGTCAGAAAGATGTGGCGTATAGTCAGAAAGTTAGTATCAATTTACGCGGGAAGAGGACGGGAGATTCAAACAAATAGTACGAGGGTTGGAGAAAAAACAGAACGACGTAATTTCCGAAGGCGAACAAAAAAAATTAAAGTATATGGTAAAAGGTGTCGGTAAAAAGGAGAATACATGCGTGGGAACGTACAATAGGTGTTTTTTGGCAGAAAGGCGACTGTACTCTAGCCGTGTTCTTGCTGTTATGGTTTCAGATCCCACCGACGACGCCGAATTTATCACAACCGAATCAGTAGATAGATAGAAAGGCAAAACGGCGGTTTATGAATTAGCTGACATCTCTGTTGACTATACTCAAACCCTGCAGGGGAGACCTAACTTTCAAGCCCTGGTTCACTTTGTTATTGACTAAACACCACCACCAAATCGCCGGTTCATGTAAATTCCGCTTTGCAAGCAAATATCCGAAATTACATAAGAAGGGTATTTATTGACCCATCGTAACTGCAGGCCATAGGTAGAAGTTCCGCTTTTTTCTGAATCAACGTCTTAGGGAGCATGCAGGCGATGGTATAGGCAATTGTTTGCGGGTGGCTGGCTTGGTGGCTTTGACCCTTTTGGCTCTAGATTGTTCAGCAGTAGACATTCATCCGCTGCCTTGGAGCTCCGGCCTAGTGGGCTGCTGCAAAGGAGTGAACGTGGAATTACTGGGAATTTTGCGGATGAAAACAATGCAATTCTGAATGACCATGTCTGCCTTGCATGCATTACAGAGTCAACCAATTATGCTCTAACTCCACGCCTAGGGTATATTTCTCAACGCACGTGACTCCCAATCGGAAAAACCCTGTGAGTACACAATCACGCACCTGGAGAACGGTATTCTAACTGATGAGTTTCAAAGTTTACGCTTTCTGC